CGCTGTAGGTTTCAGGGTGAAGATCTTCTCTCACTACTCTAAAGGGCCCCTTTGGCAGTAGGAAACACGTAGACTATTGTGGAGATTGATTTTGGAATTTAGATGCACTGTTATGTATGTGCTTAGCCATACATGTTCATATCATGGAACTGTTGCAGCCTAGAAGACACAAATTTAACTAAAAACAAAACAAAACAAACAAAAAAACCCCAACACAACAAATACTAGATGTTCCTGATGACTATGGTCATGGTTGGGGGTGCCAGCCACGCAAGGAAAAGAGGCAAATGGACTGTTAATTTCTTCATTGTTTTATATTTTTTTTAAAAAAAATTACATCACATGATGCCTTTGCTTCACACCAAGTATCCAGCACTTCTGAGAAATAATATCAAATTCCCTTTCCAAGAGGATGAGGAAGGATAACCAACATGGCTGAAAGGTCTCTACAGAGCCACTGAAGGCAGTCTATCCTACTGATGGTTGTATTTCTGCTGTAAACATCTGGAATTATTTCTTAAGCAAAACACAGGGGGAAAGTCATCATCTTTGTACCTATTATGTCGTTCAAAATTGTCTGTGTCCCACAGATATCCTTGTTATTCTTGGATCAAATAACACTCTTTTTTTCCTTCTTATTCTCATTTTATTTTTAAAGTTCTATTTTATACTGGTTTATATACAAAGTTTGTATATATCGTTTTTCACACTGGATTTTTCCAATTTTCTTTGCCATCCCCCACCCACCCATCAAATCGTGTCATCCTATGATTAACACCTCCCACCACCCATCCTCACCCCTTTGTTCCCTCTCCTTGGATCCTCATACTCATTCTACAATAATGGTTTTATACAGTATTTGTCCTTATAGGATTGAGTTAGTTCACGTAACATAATGCTCTCCAATCCTTCCAAAGTTAGGTAGTAATTTACAAAAGCATTGCTTCTTTATACTGTGTCATATTCCAGCATGTGAATGTACCATAATTTCTCAATCCATTCAATTATGGTTGGACCTTCTTTTTTTTTTTTTAATTATTTTGTGTGCATGTACCGTCAAATCAGATCTGACTGGTACAGGAGGATATTGCGTCTCCTTCTCCGGCAGAGCGTCTGGTGGATTCGAACCGTGTTCCTCTGGGATTGCAGTGCAGCTTCTTGCCACTAGGCCACCAGAGCTCCCCTGTTTCCATGTTCTTGAGATGGTAAATAATGCAGCTATGAACACTGATGTACAAGTCTCCATTTGTGCCTCAGTTCTCATAATCTTAGGTTATATTCTAAGCATTTGGGACAGCTGGATCATATGGAATTTCTATGTTTAGCTTTTTGAGAAATAACACTCTTACTCATTTTTTTACGTTGGACTAAACACAGATATGCTCAGAGAATTCTTTCCCCACCCTTCAGCCCCTATACATCAACAGCTGCTGTCAAATCTATCCCACTCAAGGTATTCCATGTGTGTCAGACGAGGACCCAGACTGTATGGTTGGTGGAGAGACAGACAAGGCATGTGCCCACACTGGGAGCCAGTGGCAGTAAAGGGGCTCAAGCCTTGTCATGGTCAGTCCAACAAGAAGACACATGGAGTTGGGCAAAGAAAATCTCCCAAATGAAATGGGGAGACCAGTAGGCCCACTGTGCCTTACATGCTTGCCTGCTCATTCCTAGTAGGTGTCAAAGGAAGTAGGAGAGAGGAGGGTGAAATAGGCCATAAAACCCCAACCCGCCTTCACTAAAAGATGGGAAATATGTGGACATGCATCATTATGAGAACCTCCATGAAGAAGGAAAAAAACTGAGAAAACACAGCCTGTTCAAGGAGCTACTGCCAGCTTAACGATCACTAAACCCAGACAGTAGATGTTCTAATAGTTCATTATTTTTACATGTACTTTTTATTTATGTAAGAGATATTGGTTTTCCATTTTAGTTGTTGTTGTTAAGTGCAGTAGACTTGTAGACAAACCATAGCAACTCTATGAGTGAAAGTCTTGAATGCAAAACTTTCACCTTTTCTCCAAGTTCATAAAGTTTCTGGAGGCAAGCTGTTTTGGGAAGTAGATGTCACTCCTGCTTCTAAGCCTGTTTCATTCAGGAGATTCACAAACACACGGGCCCATAAGCCTTTGAAAATATGAGGCCAAATCAATCAGCTCACACTCTATTGTAAGCAGCAGCCACACCCTAATCTCAACCCGAAACCAGAACACACACCTTAGCAGAATCCCGCCATTCCACTCATCTTCCCATCCTGGAAATAACCCCATACTGATGGCCAAAAGCCTTTTAAAATATGAGGCCAAACTCAATCAGAAATAGCCCCATACTGGTGATCAAAAGCCTTTTTAAATATGAGGCCAAACCCAATCAGCTCACACCCTGTTGTAAAATCACAAAATTACAAAAATTAGGTAGTATAATGAAATGTGAAGGGAGCTGAAGTTTGAAAACCCAAAGGGAAGAACACATTCAGTGTTTCTCAAGCTGAAAGATCTGAAGAACAAATTCAAGCCTCAAGTTCTAACACTGAAGGATTCTATGGACAAAATCTTGAATGGTGCAGGAAGCACCGGAAGATGAAAGGAATGCACAGAGTCATAGTACCAGTAATAATTGGTTGACACAGACCATTTCAGGAAGTAACATATGAACCAGAACGAGTAGTACTGAAGGATGAAGCTGCACTGAATGTATTAGCAAAAAATAAGGCCCCAGGAATTGATAGGATGCCAACTGAGGTGCTTCAAGAAACTGATGTAACATTGGACATGCTCACAAGACTATGCAAACAAATATGGATGGCAGCTACCTGGTTTACTGACTAGAAGAGAATCATATTTGTTTCTATTTTTAAAAAATGACCAAATAAAGTATGGAAATTATCAAATAATATAATTGACATCACAGGCAAATAATGTTTTCGTTAACATTATTTAGAAACAGTTGGAACAATATATTGTCAGAGAACTGCCAGAATTTAAACTAGATTCAGTCCCTTGTACGTTATTTACATGGTGTTGAAATAGAGGAGGGAGAGAAGTGTACAAAAGGAACATATGATTAGGTATTATTGGCATGACAAGAGTCCGGAATAAGATTTGCATAGTAAAGTGGTAGGTGGTGGGGGAGGACTGTGTAGCAATGAAAGAACTTTTTTTCAGAGAAAAAAGCAAAACTTGGGGGAGGACAGGGAGGAAAATGTGCAACAATGAATGAATGGAAATCCAAGTTCTTTATAAACTTTCATTAAAATTTTAAAAAATTAAAAAACAAAACAAAAATTGGATTCAGAAGAGACTCTGGCACAAAAGGTATCATTGCTAATATTATATGAATCTTTCTTGACAACAAAGAATACCAGAAAGATGTTTATTTGTGTTTTATTGACTATGCGAAGACAATTGACTGCATGGATCATAACAAATTATGGCCAACACTGAGAAGAATGGGAATTTTAGAACATGTACTTGTGCTCATGAGAAATGTATGCATAGACTTAGAAGCTGTTGTTCCAGTTTAAAATCAGGAAAGGTGTGTGTCAGGGTTGTATCTTTTCTCCACATATATTCAATCCACATGCTAGACAGATCATCGGAGAAGCTGCAGTATATAAAGAAGAATGTCAGGATCAGAGACTGATTAACAAAATGCAGATGACACAACTTTGCTTGCAGAAAGAGGACTTGAAACACTTACTACAGAAGATCAAAGACTATAACCTTCAATATGGAGGTTAATCTCCACATCAAGAAAACAAAAATCCTTCCCCTAGGACCCATAGGCAGTATCATCATGGTAGATGGAAAAAAGACTGAAGTTGTCAATGATTTAATTTTTCTTGGATTCACAGTCAAAATTCATGGCAGCAGCAATCAAGATATCAAAAGATGTGTTGCACTGGGGAAATCTGCTGTCAAGGACCTCTCCAAAGTTTTGTCGTCAGTTTAAAGATTAAGGTGAACCTGATCCTTTGAATTATGGTTGGCAAAGAGTATTGCCCATAGACTTTTACAAGAACAAACAAATCTATCTTAAAGAAAATGTAGCCGGAGTGCTCCTTACAGGCAAAGATGGTGAGATTTTGTCTCACTTACTGTGGATAAACTTTTAGGAAAAATCAGTCCTTGGAGATAGACATTGTGTATGAGACAGAGAGTCTCTCATAGAGATGGATTGACTCTGTAACTATCACAGCAGGCTTGAGCGTGACAGGAAGCACGAGGACGGTGCAGTTTAAGGCAAAAATCAAATTAGTTGTTCATTGAGTCATTATGAGTCATAGTAAACCTGATGACAACTACCAGTAATAATTCATACATAATTTCCTCTTTATTTCAAGAAAAACCAAGTATGTCAGTGAAAAAAGAAACAAGCATAGCTTCTGACTGGCAAAACTGACTTCCTAGCTAGACTATGCATAGACAGCACTTCAAGACATCATTCCACTGAGTTGTTTCCTAGAAACATAAAGGTGAGGTTGATGTGAAAGTCACTTTTCCTGCAGGTGACTTGACTTATCCTTGAGAGCAGAGGGGACTGTTCTGTGGTGGTTGTTCAAGACCTGTCTGTTCTAAGGAGTATCAGTCACTCTAGGAGGCAGAGTTTCACAGGTGATTTCCACACTTGGGCTCCCACTTAGTCAATTTCAGTCAGAAGTAACTCCAATATTTTGCTAAAAATTAGTCATTGCAGAGGTTATGATCACAACTTTAACATTAACATTATTCAACTCAGAGGAGGCATCCATCACTAGTAGAGGGGTGAAGCATTTGACGAAACAGAGGGCTGCTGAGGGCATAAGAGGAGATCCTTGTTGAAATAAATTAGCATAACAGTTGCAACAAGAGTTATACATGCTGGAAATGCTGCAGATGGAAGGAGCAAACTTTTATTCCATTGTATGGAAGGTCACCATGAGGTGAAGCCAACTCACTGGCACCTAAGAACCACAGCAACCATTACTGCCCACTCACCCTTTCAATTATCTTTTGCAGGCCAAAGAAAAAAGAAGTCATCAGGGTTTTGATGTGGACCGCGATGCCAAAAAGCTGTATAAAGCCTGCAAAGGGATGGGTATGAAAGATGTTTTGTTTGTTAAAATACATTTGAAATTAATTATATAAACTTGACCTCACATCCAGGTCCCATGACCTTGGGAATATAGCTTCCCACATTTGATTTTCAATGTCCTACCCTAATTAATACAAGAGACCATTCCCAGGGATCTCTAGGGAAGGTCTCCCCTTTAAGGGGAGGGGGATTATTACTAAATTGGTACAGATTTTCTGCTTTGGGTGGTGAAAAAGGCTTGGTGTTTTGGTTTTGGGTTTTTGAAACAAAGAGTGGTGATGGTTAAGGGAGAAAAAGTTACACAGAGTATGATAAACAGAGAGGAAAATTCCTGGGATTAATACTCCTGAATATCATAGGGATCTGATTCTGTCCCTTTCTAAAAAGGCTTCCTTTAATGGACATTTATTTATAGTCAGTTGTCCCAAACACTGAGTGTGGCTTGCAGTCAAATGTTGGCATCCCATTCACACATTGGATGGATTAAACGACTTATTTTAGATGAAAGAGACAGGACTGCAGAAAAGCATCCCCAGGGCAAACAGGTGTAAGTTCCACACACCTAATTCTCACCTTTCCTGACTCTAGTCAGGTGACAGGAAGAGGACAGGTGAGGCCAGTGGTGTAGCAGAGGATGAAGGAGCATGGTCTCTGTAAGGAATAAAGAAAGGTAATTGGCATCAAATTGATCTGTATCATAAGCTTATCATCCTTTGCCTCAACCTGAATGTTTCCTCTGTTGGAAGAACAATATAGCGATCTATAGTAACGAGTACACAGGCTGATCTTTTGAACAATATGCTTGGTGGACAACTTGATCAGTATAAACAGCGAGCAAGCCCACCCCCTTGGAGGCCCCCGTTCAACCTAAGAATTATCAACATTTTACTTTGGTTTTTCACACCACAGAGTTGTGGAGGTGAAGTCTGGACTCTCTAGCTGTTACTACTTTAGCAAGATACTTGGAATCTTGTGTCTGGTGGTTTGAATCAACCAGCAACCCCATGGCAGGAAGAGAAGCAATTTCTTCTTGTGTGACTTACAACTTTGGAAAACCAATGAGTCAGTCCCGACTCAACGACAATGAATTTGAGGGCTTTTTCTTTCTCTTCATGCTAATTCTTTGAAATCCAGGAGACTTAGATTCTTCTCATTAGATTCATCCATCATCCCTACACCCCCATTCAAAAATGACAAACAGATCTAGCAAGCCCAGGGTGCTGGTGGGGAAGACTGACCTCTTGCTCTCTAAGCCAAAGGCAAGGCTGACCACCCAGTGCAGTGAGGAAGATGACGGCTGGCTCTGAAGCCTGAGCTCCCCTGCCCATCCTCTTGCTGTTGTACTTGTGAGCTGTCGTCAAGTTGATTCTGACCCAGAGGACGGTACCTCACGTGACGTCACGTCAGCAGCTCTACCCCTTGGGGTTTTCTAGGCTCTCATCGTTACTACATCGCTGTGTCATTCTTCCGAAGAACTCCAGTGGGTTCAAACGGCCAACTTTTCACTTATCCTTCAAGAGCTCTAGCTGGGATTTCACCAAGCTCCTTCTTCTCAGTGTTAGGACCCAATACATGGATGGCACTTAAGCCCAGATAGGACCTAGCTGGAGCACTGCCCACCCCAGTGGCCTCCATCTGCTAAACTATGACTTGGTACCTTGTCAGAATAGGGGCACTGGTGGTACTGAGGATAAGTGTTCAGCTGCTCACCCACAGACGGGCAGCTTGGACCACTAACCCTTGAAGGAACAAAGATACGGCAGTGTGCTTCCATCAAAAGGACAGCCTTGGTGCTTGGATTTGAGCTGTCGCTCCTCTAAAGGCATGTAAGTAACAATATAATCTGAAAACTATGTAGTGATTCCCCAATATCTGATAAACCAAAGGGTGTTAGAAAGATTAAATGAATACAACATCCCTTAATGCCGTCATAGCCTTGACAGATGTAAAGGGAGTGCCCCTGGGATTGGCCTGTAATATCCTTTATCTGACTAGAGATAAAAGGGGAGGAAATCAAGCTGAGAGAGGGCACTCAGTGCCACTAAGAACGAGTTTCCAGGATGCCACGTGGCCCTGATCTCTGACACCTGGGAAGCCCAAGACATATGGTGATTTCCTGGAAATGCTGGGTGTGCAGACACCGAAGGAAGCAAGGACCTTCCTCCACAACACACCAGGAAGAGTCTAGAGAAGCCGTCCTGCATTTAGACTCCTAGGGAGCTCTGATGCATAAGCCAAAGGGAATTGCACTTACAAACTCTGCCGATTCGAATCCAGCAGTGGCTCCTCAGAAGAAAAACGGGCATCCTTCCTGCATTCCATTTATGGTGTGAGGAACGTGCTGGACGGTCATCTCTGTCTGCTCTGGCAGCAGTGAGTTGAGCCTTCCACACCGCAACAGAAAAAAGAAGTCCATTTGCTAAATTAATTCGCATCTGGTATCTCTGTTGTTGTTGTGTGTCACAGAGTTGGAACCACCCCATAGCTGACCCTCCGGCAGGTTTGCAGGGGCAGTTGACCATTCAGGAGGAGATAGTCCATCTTTCTCCTGCTAGTACTGGATCTTTTAGATCATTGGAATTCTCATGGGATGTTTATATCCTGCTCTATAGTAGAAATCAACTCAAGAGTAATGGACTGAGTTGGGTCCTGATGATACAGCGGTTAAGGCACCTGTCTGCTAACCAAAAGGTTAGTCATTCAAAGCCACCAACCCCTCAGCAGGAGAAAGATATGGCAGTGGAATGGTTACACCCAAGGAGCAGCTGGAGACTGGCAAGTGCCCATCTATGGTGTAACTACTAGTCTCCCCCTGACTGTAGCAAAGAGTGAGGGAAATCAAGGACATTCATCTACCATACTAACAGAATAGGCAAACTCCACCCTCACACAGCCCCGAGACCAGAAGCACTCGACGGTGCCCAGACACCACAGCTAACCACTCCGCAAGGGGTCACATGGAAGGGTCTGGGTAGACTGGGAGATATAGATAGAGAACAAAACTCAAAGTCAGAATAATGGCCAGGTTTACTGGTCTGACAGTGGCTGGTGGAATCCTAGAGACTATGGCTCTAAGCTATCCTTTGAGCTTAAAACTAAACTGCTCCTTTTTGCACAACTTGTGACCCAAATTATTGGCAAATCCGTAAGGTGAACAATAACACCAGGCACATACTCAGTCCTTAACAATCAACCACGCGTGATCATGAGGGCAGTATTTGTCCAGAGGTAAATCTCAGACAGGAGGAAGCGCGGGTGTGGAAGGAATCGTAACAAACTAAGGACAACACTGAGAATAGTGGGATTCTCAGAACACTTAATCATGCTTCTACAAGGCCTGCATCTAGACCAAGAAGCTGTTGTCTGAACAGGGGATGGGAACACTGCATGGTTTACAATCAGGAAAGGTGCGGGTCAGGGTTGTATCCTTTCTCCGTACCTAATCAGTCTGAGGGATGAACAAATCATTTGAGAAGCTGGACTCTAGGAAAAAGAATGTGGCACGAGGATCAGAAGACTCATCAACAACTCGAGTCATGCACATGGCACAGCCTTGCTTACTGAAATTGAGGAGGACGTCAAGTGCTTGCTGCAGAAGATCAAAGAGTCTCTATGCTACTTTCTAAAACGGTGCTGTGCCCGCCAATCCTTTCTGGTACAGCGACTGTGTATTCTTGCCATCTTCTGGTGCTCCCTGGATCAGTCAGCAGGGTGGCTGGTAGTTGAAACAGACTCCACAGCTATGGATTTCACTCTTCAGCCAAGCCTGGGAAAGTAAAACCAAGGAGGCCCTCGGACAGTCCCGCCTTGCCCTCTACTGTGTAATTCCTCTGCCGTGTCCAATGTACACTCGAGACTGAGGTTTCTTTTCTCCTCTTTTCTTAATCTTTCCCAGAACTACCTGGGACTAGTTCCCAGGCCTAAAACCATCACAAACATTCACAAGGAACTCCAGCAGCTCTGACTGCTCCTCTGACACGCAGGCTGAGAAATGTAGGATGAGCTCATCCCTCTCAATCCTTCCGCGGTTGAACCTCAGGAACCATTTCCAAGACAAACGTGAGACTCAGAGTGCTTCAGGGAAACCCAGGCGACCTGTCCATGCCTCCTCTCACCTCCAGGCTGCTGCTGACCCACCCAGGACTACCTGATTCACTTGTCTATTTTCTTAAAGTATTCCAGGAAGGAAAGTCTAGAATACACCTTTTCATTTGCATGTTAGATTTTTCATGAGTTCTCCGTATAGGAGTGGACTATGACATCAAAGGGGGAAGTCTCGTCTCTGGATGCACTGTCCTTCTGAGCATCCGAGTATCTCACGCAGCTTTACTTAAATGCAGAGAGAAAATTCTAACATAATGATGTGCAAAGGTCTCCAATTGTTCATCCTTTCATGAGCATTTGTATACATTCAAAGCATCCATCATTGACTAACCATCTGATAAATACAGAGAACATTCTATGTGGAATATTGGTAAACAAACCCCCTGCTTTCACTGGACTCGCAGTGCTGTGGAGGGAGAGGAAGGAAATATGGCACGATAAGGACACAGAAGGAGAGGGGCAGCCATTCTGCGGGGAGCCCAGTGATATATGTGATACCTGAAAACGAGTCAGGGGAGGCGAGGACTGGGGAGAAGGTGGTCCAGGTAGAAGGACCAGCTCATGTATAGATTGGAAGGTGAGAACAAAAGCTTTGTTCTAGAGTGTACATGGAAGGACTGAGTGAGTCACAGCTGCTTCCCAAGAAGAGAATGAAGGCGGTCGCAGCCCACATCTCTGCAGAGAGAACACAGATACTGAGCAAGGCCCAGGCCCCCCAGAGAGAGAGAAAAGGGGAGAAGGAGCCACACTGGGTCAGCACAAGATGATCCAGGTCTCCAAAACGTTCTAGATCTACATCCCTTTCTCCTTCTTGGCTGAAAGAAAGCCGAGATGAGGAGTAGAAGGAAACCGAGATGAGGAGTAGAAGGAAACAAACAGCAAAGTACAGCACATCCCTGAGGAGAATGGAGAGGGCCGAACAGAGGGAGGAATAGAAATGATGAGGTAAGTGGAGTTTGCCTCCTCTGAGTTCACAAAAGGGAAGAAAAGAAGGGGCGTGGCTGTGTAATGTGGCTGTGTGTTCATGCCACCATCACAACAAACAAAAACAAGAATGTCCACATCATGAAACTGCCAGTAACCTGCCTGGCCCTCAGAAGAGAAGTCCAGGCGGTACATGAATAGAAAGGTGAATTTAGGAGTCCTCTGGCCTTCATTGTATGAGAACTGAAGTGTTGAAGAACTATTCCTTTCCCCCCTTATATTGGTCGAAAGAGTAGAATTACTGTTGCTTTTTAATTTAATATGTATCAAAACAGGATCTTAGTTCTAGCTCCTTATAAAGTAAGAAAATCTTATTTTATGAATTGTGTAGCCTATTTATCCTACCTCAAAAGAAAAAACGTTAAATATTATGGGCTGGATGGTTTATTATTTTGTTTTATCATTTGGGGCAATCATCAACTCCATTGTGTTAGTCCTTATTCCTACGGAAGCCATTGTTGGTCTCCTTAATAAATGCTTGTTAGAACTTTTTAAAAAAAGTGTCAAATAATTTGCCTGTAAGTTTTTTCATTAAAGCAATATTTCTAAAAAAATTATTTCTTCTATTACTAAGTAATTTATAGAGTTGACCAAAAGGAGGCCTAGTGGACCATGATTAAGGAGCCTTCATGACATAGTGAACTAGGTGTTGGCCTGCTAACTGAAAAGTCAGCAGTTCAAGTCTACAGCCGCCGTCAGGAGAAAGAGGAGGCAGGCGGCTTCTGTAAAGATTCTGGGTTTGGAAACCCCGTGAGCAGTTGTATTCTGTGCTCCAGGGTAATGTGACTTAGAATCACTCAACAGCAGTGGGGTTATACTTAAAGGTTTAACACAGAAGAATGAGTGGGTGGATCAGAAAGGTCTTTCTGATGCAGTAGGGATGCTGGTAGGAAATGAGGTGAGGCAGGAACCCCATTGGGGTGATGTTAGGAGCTCAGCTCAGAGATGTGGAGGAGGATGGAGAGAAGTGGAGGGCTTGAGAGAGATTAAACTAGAATAGAAAGATCTTAAAGTGGTGCGTTATAACAACCACAGGAGTACAGAGCAGAATGACCCTGTAAGATCGCCTTGGTTTGAATTTAAAGAAGCAGACCGCCAAGTCTTTGTTTTGTAGTATGTCGGGAAGATTCAAACTATCAACCCTTAGGTTACCTGCTGAATGAAAGCTGTTAGCCCTACGCGGAGTCTCCATGAGTCAAAAGCCGAAGATGGCAAGTAACAACAACCCGGTGGTTGACTGAGCTTGGGCTACAGGGTGTGGGAGCCAGGAATCAGCCCAGAGTTCCAGCTGGCAGGATGCCAGAGTGAACAGAGCAGCCTGGTGGCAGGACAGCCCCTTCCAGGGTGACAGCGACAAAGATCCAAACCAGGACGCGGAGTCCCCAGAGCAAGGCAGGCGCAGCCAGGAAGGAGAGACATGTATAAGAAAAGAAATCCCTTCCGAGGTGAGACTTCTGGCACTCAGAATTTAAAAAAAATAATAATAATACTGTCATAGAGGAAGTAATTGGATCCACATCACGTCAGTGACGCTTCAGCAGGAAGCAAAGAGAAACAACATAAATAACAGTGTTGCGATGAAGTCAGAAGAAAGCAGTCATTTAACTCCTACTATTTATACAAGTGAGCTCATCCAAAGAATTTTCTGTTTCTCCAGCTGGATTCAAACAGCCAAACCTTCCCAGAAGTTCAGAGGTGAACTGATCCTTGGGGTTCAGTGCATGGTCCAAAGACACAGAGCTAGTAAGAGTTCTAGAACCAGAACACAGGTCTGCAAACTCTTGGGTCCAAGGCTTCGCAATTCTGTGCTGTCATTCCAGATATGAGTCAGGGTCTGTGTCACTCAGTTGTAAATACTGGTGATTTACAGGCCATACACATGCCACTCAATATGATGGTTTTTAATATATTAAAAATTATGTGCAACCATCACCAAGCCTTATGTTGAATATTTTTATCACCTCCAAAAGACCATATGCTTTTTCTTGTGTGTGTGAGAGAAAAAATTTGTATTTAGAATTAGCCAGCCGGACTTAGTTTAGATGATCCCAATTTTGTTGGCAACATCCAAAGTACCATAGTCAGGAGCAAGTCAAATATAGGTCTTCTTCTCTCCATCAGGCCTAATCAAGGTGTTGACCTTGGCCACATCAATGTCACAGAGCTTCTTTACAGCTTGTTTAATTTGGTGCTTGTTGGCCTTGACATCCACGATTAACACAAGTGCATTGTTATCTTCTATCTTCTTCATGGCTGACTCAGTGGTCAGGGGAAACTTGATGATGGCATAGTGGTCACGCTTGTTTCTCCTGGGGGCGCTCTTCTGGGGGTATCTGGGCTGCCTTCAGAGTCTCAGTGTCTTAGGCACCGGAAGGTGGGTGACGTGTGGATCTTCTTTTTTTTGGGGGGGGCTGTGGATGCCCTTCAGGACGCCTTCTTGGCTTTTAATGCCTTTGCTTTGGCTTCAATTTCGGGAGGGGCGGGGGCTGTGGATGCCCTTCAGGACGCCTTCTTGGCCTTTAATGCCTTTGCTTTGGCTTCAGTTTTGGGAGGGGTGGGGGCTTGCTTCTTCACTTTTGGCACTATCTGTGTAAAAGGGTCAGGACCGTATAATTTTTAGCTATCACTCCTACATCCTTATTTCCAGCCTTAAACAACTGCTACTCTACTTTCCTCAGGTCTTTTAGAAAGCAAGAAATGTTTAACATGTTAGCATTTTCTTACAAGACAGACATAGTCAGGTCTTTTAGAAAGCAAGAAATGTTTAACATAATGCCCAGTTTCATGAAGTATTTGCTCAGCATACAGATTGAGCAGGTAATGGGAAAAGGACACATACATCCCTGGCTCACATCCTTCCTGATTTTAAACCGTGCGGTGTGTTTCCTTGCCCCAGATTCAGGCCGTGGTCTTTGCAATCACTTGCTCTGCATCTGAGAGCTGGACAACGAATAAGGATGACAGAAGAATTGATGTCCTTGAGCTGGGGTTTTGGAGACGAGATCTGAATATCTCATGAGCTGCCAAAAGAACAAATCGATAGATCTTGGGGAAAGTGCAGCCAGAGTGCTCCTGAGAGGCAAGGATGGCAAAGCTCCAGACTTCTCTGGCCTGGACGTCTAGAAAGCTTTCACTTTCATTGCTGTTGACTCGGAACTGGCTCATAGCTGGCCCTCTGGGGGGTTTTCTGAGGCTGTAAATCATACTGGAGAAGATTGCCCATCCTTCTCCAAGAAGCAGCTGGTGGATTTGAACAGCCCTTCAAGGAGCACAATTCCTTAACCACTAGGCCACCTGTGCTCCCTAGAATCATACAATACATGACCTTTTGTGAATGGTTTCATTCATTGCACAATGCTTTCATCTATGTTGTAGCATGCCTCAGAACTTCATCACTTTGATGGCCAAATGATGGTGCATTCTGTGGCTAATACCACATTTAAAGCACTGAATTCTCATCAATTCTGGCTTGTAGCAGCCCTACGTGATGGAGCAGAACTGTCGCATAGAACTGTAATCTTTACAGAAGCCAACTCCCCATTTTTCTTCCTCAGACAGGCTACTGGCTTCTCACTGCCCACATTTTAGTCAGCAGCCAGGTGCTTTAACCCCTGCACCACTAGAACGATACAAATGAGGACTGACTCAAGAGCCACTGGTTTGGTTTGGTTTATCACTTGACGGACATTTGCACTGATTACACTTTTTTGGCAATTATGAAAAATGCCGCCATGAACATCTATATACACGTTTCTATGGTGACAGATATTTTACTTTTCTCATTCTTGTTGTTGTTGTTATAAGCTGTTGCACCATTTCTGATTCACATAAGCTGTTGCACCATTTCTGATTCACAGTGACTCGAGTTGACAGAGTTAAACCTCCCCACACAGTTTTCTTTATGGAAAAGAGCCTGGTGACACAGACCTTAATCACTCACCTCCTAACGAAGGGTCAGCATTTAGGACCCACCAGTTACCCCACCGGAGCAAGATGTGGTGATCTGCCTTTGTAATTACAGCCCAGGAGACCGTATGGGTCACTTCTCCTCCATCGTAGGGGGTTTCTATGAGTTGAAATGGACCCAATGCCAATGAGTTAATCTTTATGAAAGCAGACCATCTGATCCTTTTCCTGTGCAGACTCTGGGTAGGTTTGAACTACCAACCTATTGGCTAACAGCTGAGTGCTTAACTGCCTGTATGCCAAGCTGTCTTTCTCATCTTTCTTGGATTCACACAAACACACATGGACATATGTATATTGTCATGTTGCACATAATGAAAATATACATGCCACAAGAACAAACAATTTTGTCTTAGAAAGACAGCAAGGAAGTTTGATGGAGGCAGAGGTGATGAGACTTCATCTCACAAACTTCAGGCAGGTTATCGGGAGGGACCAGTACCTGAAAAAAGACATTGTGTTTGGTCAAGGAGAGGATCAGCAAAAACCCAACTGATGTCTTTACGAGGTAGACACATGACTGCAATAGTAACTGAAGCCCGCAGCAGCTGTGAGCATGGTGTGGGCCAGGCCGGGTCTGGCTTTGCTGTTTGAAGTGTTGTTCAGTCAGAGCAGACTTGATGGCAACTAACAGAAATTACATGAGTGCAATTAAGGAACAGGCCACGCTCAGCCCTCTTCCCACCTTGGTGCCCACCACTGGGTTTTATGGACACTAGGGGTTCAGTGGACATTGTTTCTGGGAGAGTGAAAAAAACACTGTTTTCATCTCACAACATTAGGGCAGAGGGTCCATCGAGGTTCCGCTGACCTCTGGCCTTTAACCTATGTGTCCTGACTCCCCTAGACTTGATTAAACCGGCCTCCACCCTGTTTCTTGCTCACTGTGGCTCTGTTTCTCTCTCTGGCATTCCAGGAACCGATGAAGCTGCCATCATTGAAATCCTATCAAGCAGGACTTCAGACCAGAGGCAGCAAATCAAACAGAAATACAAGGCTGTGTATGGCAAGGTGAGCCCTTGACCCTGACCCGCACTTGACCCTGGCACCCTATCTCCCTCAGCTGGGAGATGGTCCTTAAGGTTTACTGAGTAAGTCAAGGAGAAGTAACAAAGACGACTGTTGAAAAGTTGACAACTGTTCACTGACTTCAGACTAGCAGAATTGCTCTGTCAACATAATAGCCTGTAAACTCAGTGTTCTTATCATTATCTTAAAAATTAACCACATTTAACTGTTAAAGCCCCCACTCAACTGGAAATAATTCCACATATCAATTCACAGAAAGGCCAGTGATTTGAAAGTCAGTTTCCTCAGGTTGGTCATTAAATACCTAGGAATTCTTCACTTAATCAGCTGTCTTCAGAAATGGTATGTTCTTGAAAAGGGACTCTTAGAGAAAATGAAAACATCCGCATCTCATTGAGCACCTAAACTTCTTTCTTCATGCTTTCCCTTCTATTCTTGTCTTTTGACTTCTTGCTTGCTTGCTTTTTTTTCTTTGTGGTTCTTGCTGTTGCTGTTACATACAGAACTCTTTAAATATGCATTAGGCTTTCTCGTTTCCTTATTATTATATACACAAGTACGATTAATGTCAGATGGACTACCGTTATGCGTAAAGAATATCATTCTGTTTTGTTCTAATCCATTCACAGCATCAACCAGCATATGCTAGAAAACTGCTAGAAAGAGAAAGCGAGTGGCAATGGTTCTACTTATTTAACTTCTGTTGTTGAGTACCGTTGAGTCAGAACTGCCCCATAGCTGACCCTCCAGCAGGTTTTCACAGGCAGTATGTCACATGAGAGGAGATTGTCCATCTTTCTTCCTCAGAGCAGCTAGTGGATTTGAACCACTAGGCCATCAGAGCGCCCTGCTGATTTAATCAGGAAGGAACATTCTTGAGAACCCTTGGACTCAGCTGTGCTTCACATGACTGGAATTTCCAAAACAGTGTGACCCAGACCACAAAATCAGGAAACCAGGAAGAGGTTAGAGATGATCAAAACCAGGTCCTGGTATCAGGAGGGAGGGACTCAGCTCCAAAGAAAATATCCACCCTCGGTAGCACAGCTCATTAACAGAAAACCAGCACCAGAGGGAGGGACCCTCAGCCTGCTCCTTGTTCCAAACAGAACATAACAAACACTCAAAGGCTTTGTTTGCAAGCTCGTTGCTTGTGAGAGCAGGCAGCTGGGTTTTCTCTTCTCTGTAGTTCTGTGTACTATCTTTTTGTTCAAACAACACGTACACTGCATGTCTTTTTGCAAGTATGTATATACAACTGTTAGTTTCCTATGCACAACACAGGTGTTACATGCAAATGCTGCTTCTTTCTGGAAGGAGTCCTGGCAGCACAGTTCATAATGTTTCCGGCTGCTAAACGGACAAGTGGTTAGCAACCGATACATTACAAAGTGTTGATGGTTCGAATCCACCAGAAGCTCCCCAGAGAAAGTGGGACAGTCTCCTCCTGTAAAGATGTACATCCTGAGAGGATCACTATGTAGGAATCAACTTGACTGCAGTGAATTGGGTCGGGTTGACTGGGGTTCTTTGCGTGACGACCCCATATGTGAAAACCCAGTGACACCCATCTGACCTGAAAAAACGTGACTCACCTTTGGGTAAATCCACAGCACAGAGTATAGACCCAGGGCTTCACAGTACACCATGCCAGCTGTCACAGCTGCTACAGGATCATGACAAAGGGGCAGTGCCTTCCAGGACACTCAGGACAGAGCAGGGTCCTCCCACAGGTCTTCCAAAGCTATCATCTTTATGGACCAGACGACACATCATTGTCCCATGGAGTGGCTGATGCTTTGGACTGCTGACCTGGCAGTTAGAGATTGAATGCTTAACCACTGTGCCACCAGGGCTCCTGGAAGGAATCCATGCAGCACTGTGACAGTCATCTTTTAAGATTGTGAATCCAAATAGAGAGGTGAAAATGGGGGGGGGGAGTGTTAGCGTGTTAATCATGTTGTTGTTGTTGTTATGTGCCGTCAAGTTGCTTGCGACTCATAGCGACCCTATGTACTGCAGCCCTAAACTCTGCTCTGTCCTGTGCCAATGGCATTGTCTCTGATATACCCATCCCGATTACCCCAGTCACTGAATCAATCCACCTCATAGAGGGCCTTCCTCTCCTGCACTGTCCCTCCACCCTCCCAAGTATGATGTTCAAGGAC